AGTCAACCTTTTCTTATTCTAAAAATTTTCTAATCATGTTTTTTCACTTTTCTGTTTGTGAGGGGTATTATTGATCCCATTGTATGACGGTAAGGATATTTTTGCTCGCAAACTCTAACGGAGGGTATATCTGCTCCATTTTCAATAGTAGAAGGATATTTTTGGCCCTTCTCCCTTAGTTTTTCTTTTGCTTAATTAACAAAGGACAAGGAAAGTTTTAAGTGGCCAATAATAACTTTCAAAATAAAATATTATTTTCAGTGAAATGATCAATACTTTAATATATTATTAATAATTAAACTGCTCTTCAGTATAGAAAAAGATGAAATTTATAAAGAAAATTGACAACACTAGCAAATTTCATGAATTTTAAAATTTTTGTGAAATATAATGGCGAGTTCAGCAAATGATGTTAAACATAAATTAAAAATTCTCAACATATAAACTTATTGAAGCAATCCTTCAACACGAATAAAGTGAAAGAAAAATATTACAAAAATATTCATGTAACGTTAAAATGGAAGAGCTAGAGATATAGAGAATTTATATTTTAATTACGAGATTCCCTCTCAAATATCAAGATTTTTGTATGCTACAAAAAATAGAAGTCGTTCATATAATTAACATATTATGTCATGAAGAAATACTTAAAATTTTGAAAAATAAAATTGTAAAAAAATTGAAGAACCGGCCTGCCATAGCCCGTAGCCCTTTTAGTGCTGGGTTGGGCTAGCCATTTTAAGTCCCATTTAGATGGAGGATGGGCTCGCCCTAGCCCACCAATTTTAAAAGCCCGCGAGGCTTGGGCTGGGTTGGGCTGACCTGTTTTGACTGCTCTAAACATAGGCACCTCTCCATCCACATGTGTGTTTCTTGAAATAAAAATATAATCCAAGGCTACTCTTGTTATTGTAACGTTTAACTTTTAATTCTTATGTGCAAATAGGACACACAAGGCAACACGTGTTGAACGCACATGATTGGTGATGCACACGCACATCCCTAATCACTTTCGCGATGAGAACGAGAGATTAGTCGCTTGGGTTTATATCTAATGGTAATGAAGGAAAGAGGAGCACGTGAGAAGCATGTGGGTTCGTTAGTTAGTTATAACTAATTTACGGAATAGCTAGTTAGTTGAGTTCTTCTTCTTAGTCAGTTAGATACTTGTGTCACGTTAGTTAGTGAAATATAGAATACTAATCACAATTGAATATATAGGAGATTTAGCATTGTAATTACATTATGCTTTCTAGAAATAAAGCTCATTTTTCTCTTATACACAGATTGAGTGTTTTATCTTGAACCTTTGATTCCTCCATTGTAGATCAAATCAAATTCACCTCTGATCTTCATTATGTTATCACATCAGGGGTTCTGGATCACCATGTATTAAGGATATTGATTCTAATTGCTGCGACTTGAGTTTCGCTGGAAGATCGACGATATTACTTGATTGAGCTAGGATTTTAATTTTTTTCTACAAATTGTTTTTGTTCTGAATCGAGCTGTCTGCGAAGTCCATAATCTATGCAAAGGGAAATTAACCTGATTAGTTTTTAACATCCATGGCGATTGACGAACAAACTCTAGCTGGAAGTAGCAGGGGATCACCATTGGTCATCTTCATCCTCTGTTCCTACAATCATATGATACACCAGGTAGCTCCTTAATCTCTATTCAACTGACTAGCACAGAGAATTATGCAATGTAGAGTAGGTCAATGAAAATTAGATTAATTGGTAAAAACAAGTTAGGTTTTGTGGATAGAAGATGCACAGAAAAATAAATTTGATCGATCCTTACATGAGCTACGGGAAAAGTGCAATGCTGTAGTGTTGTCTTGGATCATGAATGTTGTAAGCAAAGAGCTACTTAGTGAAATTGTATACAAGTCTAGTGCACATAGAGTGTGGACAGATCTAAAGGATAAATATGATAAAGTAGATGGATAGAGAATTTTCTATCTGCATAAGAAAATAGCTACATTGTCCCAAGGGATTTCCTCAGTTTCAACTTACTTTGTTAAGCGAATAGATCTCTAGGAAGAGTATGATGCTCTCATGCCTTTCCTAGGGTATGATTGCCTAGAATCCAAAAGTTATGCTGAAAGTTTTGAGTACCAAAGACTACTGCAATTTCTAGTGGGACAAAATGAGACTTGTAGTTAGCCTAGAAGTCAAATTCTAATGATAACTCTAGTTCAAAGTGTTAACAAAGCATACGATATAATAATATTAGAAGAAAGTCAAAGATCTTTGGGAGAGTTCACACAGGCCGTTGACATATCTGATGGAGTTGCATTATTCAGTAACAAATGGGGCATGAATTCAGGAAATAAACAAACCTAGAAGGATTATCTTGTACTGTGACTTCTGCAATTAATAAGGCCACACCAGAGAATTGCTATAGGGTACATGGTTATCCTCTAGATTTTAAGATGAGAAAGAAGACAACTAGGTACGAGCAAAGACCTATGGCAAATTTGACAGCTCATGAGATGCAACAATCACAAGGCAAACCATCAGTTAATGCAGTAACATAGGAGGAGCAACAAGTGATAAACCAACCCACAAGAAACACAGTGCAGGGATAAGGCATAGTATTCACTCAGGAGCAGTATGATCAGATATTGAAGTTAATCAACAAAGATAAATCTGGTAATCACATGAAGGAGTTTGCAGGTACAGTCATTACTTTTGTTGTAAATGATACAGTAGAAAACATTGATAGAGTAAAAATCTCAAATTAGATAGTGGATTCTGGTGCAACCAATCATATGGTTCATAATGAGAAACTACTTAACTAAAGATAGCAGTAGCATTATAAAGATACAAAGGTGTATCTATCAGATGGAAAGTCCTTAGATATAGCTTACACAGGAGAACACAAAATTGGTTAAGCTGAAACCATTAAGAATGTATTGTGTATACCAAGTTCCAAATACAATCTTTTATCAGCTTTAAAATTAACAAAGGACTTAAGGTGCTTTATGTCTTTTTATCCTGATTTCTGGATAATGCTGGACCTTCACACTGGAAAAGTAAAGGGATTGGTAAGGAGCTGAAGGACTATACAATCTGCAGTAGAAGAAAGTTAAAGCAAATGTTGCAGATGTGCAAGTAACAAGTATACATGGGAAGGAAAAAGATCTGGATATTTGGCATAACAGACATGGGCATGCTCCCGATAGAGTAGTCCAGTAGATTCCAAACATGAGTTTTAAGACAGGCAAAAATAAAATAAAGCAATGTACAATCTGTTCTCCAGCTAGACAAGGAAGATTTCCATTTCCAAATAGCTCCTCTAGCACTAATAAGCCATTTCATTTGATATATGTTTATGTTTTGGGTCCTTATTGGATACCTGCTCATGATGGCTTTAGATTTTTCCTCACTATTCTACAATGTTATGAGTTTACTTACTTTGACTCAAAAGTGATGTGATTGTATGCCTGAGACAATCCCTTATTCTAATAGAGACAAAACTTGATGCATCAATTAAGATTATTAGAAGTGATAATGGCATTGAGTGTTTCAACTCTGAGTGCAGAAATCTTTTCAATCTCTTGGTATAATCTACCAATGTTCATGTGTACACACCCCACAGAAATGGAGTAGTTGAAACAAAACACAGACACATTCTAGAATTGGCTAGAGCAATAAGTCTTCAAGGTCATTTGCCTCTCAAATTTTGGGGAGAATGCATTCATGCTGCTGTTTATATCATCAACAGACTTCCTTTGCCAATATTAGAAGGAATGTTTTCATTTGAGATTCTACATGGAAGACCACCCTCACTGCAAGACATGAGGATCATAGGCTGCTTGTGCTTTGCCAACAATGTAGGAGGAGGTGACAAGTTTGCAGCCAGATCAATTGGAGCTGTCTTGATGTGATATTCATCCACACAAAAGAGTTAGAGACTCTACAATATACCAACTAACCAGTTTTTTGTCAGCAGGGATGTAAAATTCATGGAGCACATCTTTCCTTTTTAGTTGCAAAAAAATAAAAGCTACAAGTTTTGCCAAATGATGTGATATCCCACACTAATTCTCAAAGAGTTGAGACATCAATTGCAGAACAGACACAAGATGCAGCTATTCCAACTCCTAGAACACTACCATGTGTAGACTCACAACACAGTTCAGAAGGGGAGGATTTGTTACTACAATAAGGAACATCACCTGCTGAAAGTGATTATAATCAAGACCACACAACCATTCCATTAGTAGACTCTGGGACTACTAGAGGAGAAGAGTAGCTGAGGAGATCAGTAAGAACAGTGAAATAGCCCATACGGATGCAAGACTATGTATGTAGAGGAACATCCACAAAGCACTCAGCAAATACAACCTGTAGATATCCATTGGAAGAGTACCTATGTCATAGAGGTTTCTTAGCCAGATATCAGAGGTCTTGTCCAAATTTATTGCTACCAAAGAATCTTTCAGCTATAAAGAAGCAATAACAACCTCAGTGGGTGGAAGCAAGGGATCAAGAGTTGAGTGCTCTTAAAGAAAATGGCATTTGGTCACTGGTAGACTTACCAAAAGGCAATGTGCCAATTGGATGCAAATGGGTGTTCAAGATAAACTACAAGGCAAATGGTGAAATGAAAAGATTCAAGGCAAGGCTAGTGGAAAAAGGGTACAACCAAATAGAGGGACTAGATTACCTAGAAACCTTTTCACTAGTGGTTAAAATGGTGACAGTCAGAGTTGTATTAACATTTGCTGCAACACATAACTGGAGCATGCACCACATGGACGTTTATAATGCATTCCTACAAGGAGATTTGACTGAGGAGGGATATATGTACTCGCCAAAAATATTTCCTAGCTAGGGGAGAAAGTATGCAGGCTACACAAATCCCTGTATGGTCTGAAATAGGCATCACGACAGTGGAACCTAAAGTTGACTGAATCTCTTATCAGCTCAAGCTTCACACAAAGCCATTTTGACTACTCACTGTTCACTAATAGAATGGGCACATGAATGGTAATCATCTTAGTGTATGTAGATGATCTCCTCATAACTGGGAATGATCAGAAGATGATTTCAAAAGCCAAAGAAATATTGCAACACAACTTCAAGATCAAGGACCAAGGAGAATTGAGGTCCTTTCTTGGAATTGAGATAGCAAGATCCAAACAAGGGATCTTCATAAATCAGAGGAAATTTGCACTAAAATTGATCAGTGAACTTGGCCTGACAGGATCAAAACCAGCAAGCACACCAATGGAACGTATTAGAGATTTAGTGCTACTGAATATGATAAACAGAATAACTATGAAGGTGATGAGAAGTTAGGGTATGCAGGATTGGTAGGAAAACTATTGTATCTCACAATGACAAGACCGAATATATGTTATGCAGTACATGTACTTAGTCAGTTCATGCATTGTCCTAAAAGATCACATATAGATGCAGTAGTTGAAGTGGTCAAATACATAAAAGGTGCTCCAGGACAAGGACTGCTAAAGAGCTCAAACCAGTCAACGAAACTTATTGCATTCTGTGATACAGATTGGGCATCATGTCCAGTTTCAAGGAGATCAGTGACAGGATATGTAATGAAGCTAGGAGACTCCTTGGTGTCATGGAAATCAATGAAGCAATGCACAGTGTCACGAAGCTCAGCAGAAGCTGAGTATAGGAGTATGGCAGCAGGGGTTTCAGAAATTCTATGGCTAACTGCGCTTTGCAGAGAATTGGGTGCAGAAGTTGACTTACCAATTGAACTAAACAGTGATAGTAAAGCAACAATTCAAATTGCTGCGAATCCTCTATTCCATGAACAAACAAAAGACATAGAAATAGACTTGCACTTCATTAGAGAAAGGATTCAATAAGGAATTGTGAAGACAAGATATGTGATATCAAAGGATCAAGAGGTTGACCTATTCGCCAAAGCTCTAAGAAGATCGCAACATGAGTATTTGATGAACAAGCTAGGGGTGCTCAACTTATTCGCACCATCTATCTTGAGGGGGAGAATTGAAGGAAAGAGGAGCACGTGAGAAGCATGTGGGTTCGTTAGTTAGTTATAACTAATTCACGGAATAGATAGTTAGTTGGGCTCTTCTTCTTAGTCAGTTAGTTTCTTGTGTCGTGTTGGTTAGTGAAATGTAAAATACTAACTACAGCTGTATATATAGGAGGTTAGCATTGTAATCACTTTATGTTTTCTAGAAATGAATCTCATTTTTCTCTCATCCACAGATTGAGAGTATTCTCTAAAACCTTTGATTCCTCCATTGTAGATCAAATCGAGTTCACCTTTTATCTTCATTAAATAGTCTACTTTCCTTCTGCATTTATTTTTTCCCCTTTTCCTGATTGTTTACCTTGGTTTCCTTATTTTATCTCTGAGCTTTTTCTTATCTCAGGTCAGCGTTTTGTTTGCGTTGTTCCCTGTGAGGAGCACATGCACCTTTATGTCAACATGTGTGTTTTCTGGTATAAACATATAATCCAAGTGCACTCTTGTTGTTTTAATATTTTGTTTTAATTGTTCTGTACAAATAGGCACACAAGGCAATACATGTTGAACCCAGATGACAACTAATGCACATGCACATCCCTAATAACTTTGACGATGCGAAGAGAGTAACCGCTTGAGTTTGTATCTAATTGTCTCCTTTTCTTTTTGCATTTGGTTTTTCTTCCCCTTTCCCATTTGCCTTGGTTTCCTTGTTTCAATATAACTCTGTGAATAGGGTAAAATATGTTTATATTAAATTATCGCATGAGGAAGTGACACGTGGAGCCTAAGCAGAAGGTAGTCGAATCCGGCAACGATTCCGTTTGTTACCAAAGAGAATGATATTCATAAAGATGAATAAAATGCCGGTCACCTGGTAGCATTTAATAAGGAATATTCTATAGCATTAAGTACGCGGACCATTACAAGGAATATGGCATTCATTGCCTGCCATTACACATTCTTCAATGGCCCTCATAATTGTCAATAAAGAGGAGCTTGATCCTAGGACATTGTTTCCTAGGTGCAGCTATAAATAATGAGCTCTATTATCATTGTATTGGACACGAATTTTATGAAAAACATATGCAACAATCTATTCAAAGCTCAATATAATTTTATCTTCTTGTTTACTGATATCGTTGTTATTGTCCCTAGAAGCCCTGTTCCCGAAATTACAATTTTTGCTGTTTTATCTCCGTTTCAAGGCTAAGTATTACATTTTTGTCTAAGTCATCTATTATTTTAGGATCAAATTAATTCAGTTGTCTATAAACAACGTATGCATTCAACTGTACCGTTTTACGGGTAAACAGTTTGGCGCCCACCGTGAGGCTGAGACAATTGTGTAATTAAGTTGGCCCTTGCCTCTTTTACTAACACGTTTGATTATTTGTTCTTAGAAAAAAATCATAAAAAATAGTAGATAATGGTATTACCAACACACACAACCTTGAGGCCCAAGAAAATCAGCCTTAGCACGAGGATTCAATCAGTAATACCTACTGGGCGGTACCCGCGACATGTTCGAGAGGCGACTCTTGATGATGCTGAAGAAGAGCACATCGTTGAAACAGTGAGGGTCTTGCATGAGCAACAAGAGGCTATTTTAGTCCATCTCACACGGCAAGATAAGGTTATGACAGAGCTAAAACAGACGTTATCGAGTGCTACTAATAACACAAATAGATGAGGTCCAGTTCCTCCCGGTTCTCCCACAAATTAAACAACACGGAGGATCGACAACAACACTACGAGGGGCGAGGTCGAATTTGAAAGGGCCCGGGGGAACGGATTCGTCAGAACAACAAGAGCGATCCTTTTAAAAATGAACTCAATGGTTTATGAGGGATGTGAACACCCTCATGGACGAAATTCCGGGCGCACCACAGTGCTGAAAGGCCGTACTTAAAGAAGTACACTCAATTGCCGTACAAACCAAACACGTCACTAGAATTGATCCCGAAGCGGTTTAAAATGGCAAACGTGCCAATATATGATGGAACTTCAGATCCTTAGGAGCATATCACCACCTATACAACGGCGGTGAAAGGGAGCGATTTAGCTCCTCACGAGATTGGGTCAGTTTTGCTGAAGAAATTCGGAGAGACTCTTACGAAGGGAGCCTTGACGTGGTATTTGCTTTTTCCCGAGCATTACATAGACTCCTTCAAGATGCTTATGAATTCTTTCATTAAGGTCCATGCCGGGGCTAGAAAGGTACATGTCTGAAAATCCGATATATTCAGGATTGCACAAGGAGAGTCCAAGTTGCTGCGGGTGTTTGTAACCAGGTTCCAGAGAGAAAGGCTATTGCTACTGGATGTTCCAAATGAATGGGCGGCTGAAGCATTCACCAAGGGCCTGAATCCGAGAAGTTCTGATGCCTCTCAGAAGTTGAAAGAAAGTTTTCTGAAGTTCCAGGAAACAACTTGGGCAGATGTTCACTACCGGCACGAGTCGAAGATAAGGATTGAGGATGATCAACTCAGTTTCCCAGCGTCAGTTAAGGGTCGGTACTGGGAGAAGAATAAAGAGAAGTCAAAAGAAAATTTCGACACAGATCGACGGTCTTCGAGGAGACAATTTTTTCCTTATGAACGGGCCAAAGGACGCGGCAGAGGTTTTCCCGTCGGCGGATAGGTTCGCTACCGATAGAAGAATTGATTGCGACCAGAACAACAAGTCGTTACAGGACAAGGAGATGTCGGGTTCTTGAGATTCTTCCTACCCCAAACTCTCAGAATATAACTTCAATGTTAGTTTAGTAGAGTTGGTATCGGCTATGAGGAACATTAAAGAAGCACGATTTCCAAAGCTAATGAGATCCGATCCCATCTAGAGGGATCCTAATTTGTGGTGTGAATACCACTAGCAAATGGTCACCGGACCGGGGACTGCTGTCATCTGCGCAAAGAGGTGGCGATAGTGCTATAACATGGCCATCTCAGGGAATTTTTAAGTGACCGGGCTAAAAATAATTACGGACACAATCGTGACAACACTGAGCCCTCAAAAGCAAGAGAAGATCCCATGCGCCTTACGATCAACATGATTTTGGGGGGGGGGGGGGACGAGATTAACGGGGTTGCGTTGTCGGTGTCGTACAAGACAAAGGTGTTAGTAACCCATAGCAAGAGGCTCCGAGAAGTCGCTGATGACGACATCACTTTCGCGGAGGAGGACGCAGATGGATTGTTGCTACCGTACAATGACACATTGACAATCTCATTAAATGTATTAGATTTCAAAATCAAATGTGTTCTGGTGTATCCAGGAAGTTCAGCCATATATAATGGAGGGTATTAGAGCAAGCCAAACTCACTGGAAGCATCATTCCTGTCCCAAAACTCCTCGTTGGGTTTAGCCTCACAAGCGTGACAACCCCAGGAGAGATGCCTACGAATGCCGAAGGGCTGATGAAGACGACCCTTTTCGAGGTGTGGGTGGTGATATGAGCTACAACATTATCCTAGGAAGACCATGGTTGGACGAGATAAAGGCTGTGCCATCAGTGTATCTCCAGTTACTAAAATTCCTAACACCCAAGGGAATGAAACAAAGAAGAGGTGACCAACCGACAGCAAGGGAGATGAATGCAATTTCAGTCTCCAGTAGCAAAGGGAAGGAGCATGCGGCATAGCAATTACAGGAACCGGCGCCTCCTCCCGTGTCAAGAGAAGTCAACTAGGGGGACGAGGCTTCAAAATCTTATCATGTGCCAAGGTATTTCCAGGTACCGGAAGAGACAAACACAACAAAATCCATAGTAGAAGAGCTTGAGCAAGTCATATTATTCGAAAAGTTCTTGGAGAGGAAAACTTGGGGACAAGACTGCTACCCTAACTAAGGTCTGGATTTATTTGAGTTTCTAAAATTTAACGTCGATTGTTTAATGTGGTCGCATGCAGATATGACAGGTATCCTGCTGGAAGTGGCTATACACAAGCTAAGCTTGGATCCCAGCATTCCTCCAATAAGACAGAACAAACGTCATTTTGCCGAGGCTAGAGACAAATTCGTCAAAGAAGAGGTAACTCGCCTACTTGATATCGGTTTAATCAGAGAAAAGTATCGAGACTGTCTAGCTAACATAGTAATAGTTCCAAAGAAGAATAATAAATTCTGAATGTGCGTAGACTATAAAGACTTAAATAAGGCATGCCCAAAATACTTGTTCCCATTGACGAACATTGATCAAATGATTGATGCCATGGTCAGGAATAAGTAAATGAGTTTCTTCGGTGCTTACTCCGGGTACAACCAAAATAAGATGAACCTGAAGGATCAGGAAAAAACTTCGTTCATAATGAATTTCAACATAAATTGCTATAATGTGAAACCTTTTGGGCTAGAGAACGCCGGAGCCACTTATCAATGGCTCGTAAACAAAATGTTTGAAAAACAAACAGGGATAACCATAGGAGTTTACATAGACGATATTCTTGTTACGTCTTTGAACGCAGGTGATCATCTTAAATACTTGCAAGAAACTTTTGACATCCTAAGGAAGCATAATATGAATCTTAACCCCGAGAAGTGTGCGTTCGGGGTCAGTAAAGGCAAGTTCCTGGGATTCCTAGTGTCACAAAGAGGGATTGAGGTTAACCACAAAAAAATCAAAGCCATCAAAGACATCCCGAACCAGCTATCAAGCGTAAAAGAAGTGCAGAGGCTCACGGGGAGATTGACCGCTTTAAGCAGGCTCATTTCCCAATCCTTAGATAAATTCCATCATTTTCGTTACTCAAAACGAAGAACAATTTTGAATGTGACCCTGGAATTTCAGCAGGCTATGAGGTATTTGAAAAGGTAGTTGTCGAGTCCTCTATTACTATCGAAGCCGGAGGAAGGAGAAAAACTGTTAAT